AATTTCAAAAATCATTAAACTAAAAGGAATTAATCAAATCTTAATTCTATCTCATTAATTAGATTTTTTACTTCTTTTCTATTTAAAAAATTTAAAGAAATAAAGTACAAAATTGTTAAGAATGAATCTATCTCTTTATTATACTTCACAATTCTGAATAATTAAGTTTGTTAAATTTAAAAATATTTTTATAACTCAAAAAAAAAAGAAATACCAGAAAATTCAGAACTTTAAATAAATATTTAAATTACCAATTTATTTTTCTTCAAAAAGATAAACTTTTTGAATATTTTACTTGCTGACATCATTTTAACAATTAAAAGAAAGAAAAGAAAAATCAAACGTTCGTTTTAAATTATTTGTTACATCACTGCCACGTTTTAAAGAAAAAAAGAGATGAGCAAATCGTTGAAATGATTGGGACATTTCATTCTATTTTTAGTAAAGAACGAAAATTTAACTTGAGATTCAATCTTCATCTCGATATTCATTTATAAATAATGACCACGAAGAAAACAGTTCCTCTTAGTCAAATTGTGGATTATGCAACTAATGAAGTTAATCCTTCTCCTAATATTAAATCATTTTCTACATTAGCAAAAATTGTTAAAACATTACCAGATGCTAAAATAGCAATAAGAATCCAATTAACTAATAAAATTAAATCTTATTGTAATGGATTCCTTCCTAAAAAAGAAATGTATTATTGTCTTTGTTTAGCTGATTTTTTGGTTAAGCAATGTCCTGAATTTAGACCTCAAATGATGAACTCAGATTTTATGATATTATTTGAAAGAGCTTCTGAAATTTCAGTTTGTTTTATAATTGTTATATTTTATTTATTCAAACACAAATAATTTATCTAAAATAGAAAGTAAGAAAAACTTCCAAGAAACCTTCTCTTGTTACAGAAAAAGCTATGAAAATTGTTCAAAGTTGGGGTCAAATGTTCCCAGATGATTTATATGAATATTCTCAAATGTATGATAGGTATATCAGTAAAGGAGTGTTATTCCCTCTTCTTGACTTTGATGATCCAGAAGATGTAGCTGCTATAGAAACACTAACTTCTAACAAAGTTGTTGAAGAAACTATTGAAGAAAAAATGAAACGTTCTGCATCAGAAATTAATGAATGTAGTGAACTTATTCATGAAACATTAAAAAAAGCTACTAACGTATCACTTCAAACTCATTCTATTAATGCATTATATAAAAGAGCTGTAGAAATTAATAGTAAGTTCAATCTTCTTTTTGTAGAATTTATGCAAAAATCAACTGACACAAGTTTGTTACAGAAATACTCAGAAATAGAAAATGTATTTACTTCAAATATTGCTAGACTCATTTCATTTATTAATAAGTTTGATTTTATTAAATTATTTCTATTCTTGAAAATTTAAACTCATTACTTAGTCCTCAACAATCTTTGATTTATCGTACATACACTACTGGGCATCTCTCTGAAGAAGAAGATGATGATAGTACAACTCTTAAAAATTCTGTTAATGCTCAAAGAAAAAAAAGAATTATCATATCTCCTGTTAATTCAAATACTATTTCTGATATTGATAGAACTCCAAAAGAGTCTTCTCATTCTACACGAAGAGGATCAAATCAATTATTACCACCTCCGTCTTCTACAGGAATTCCTATAAGACAAACACCTCAAACAGTTATTCAAATTCATCAAAATAAAACTGATATAGAACCTACAGAACATGTGGTAGTTCATAGAATTGGTAAATTAAAGAAACGGTCATTTACTCAAACTGAATTAAACAGTGATTATAATGAATTAAAAGATTCTCAACATTAAAATATTATGGTATTTAAGATTAATTTAATGATGTTTTTCATTTATTTGTAAGTTTTTTAAAAAAAAATTAAGAAGTGATTCATTTAGATAACATCATCAAGAATAGCACTGAGAACTTCATCTTGAGCAATATTTGTTTGTGTGTCTTGTTGTGAATCGTCTACATTAACTAAAGACATTGAATTAATAACTTCAGTACTTTCTTTAACTTCTTCAGAAGGAAGTAATGGTTGAGTTTCTTCATTTTCTTTTTCATTTTTGCTATTATCTTCACTTGGCTCATCTAAAACGAAATTCTCAATTCTTTGTGGTTTTGGAGGTGCAAGTAGTGCTTCTTTTTCTTTTCTTGCTTGTTTCTCTTCACAATGTTGTTGATACATTTTCTTCCATACTGCTTCAACTCTTTCCTCAATTTCAGTGAATTTTGGTCTTAAACTAGGATCTTCAACCCAACAATCGCTAATTAATTTAGCCATTTCAGGTGGGAAAGAGTCTGGAATATTTAATCTGTTTCCTTTAGTAACAAAATCAGAAACATCCCATGAATGTGCAAAGTTTTCATCAGAATAAGGTACTTTTCTAGATAATACTTCATAACACACAATAGCATAAGAAAAAACATCAACAGCTTGTCCATATCCTTGATTTAATAATAATTCTGGTGCCATATATAATGGTGTTCCAATACCTTGTGTCATTGAAGCAACAACATTAGATGAAGAAACATCTCTACTTGTTCCAAAATCAGATAATTTTGCATTAATCTTTTCTTTTTTTACCATAGAAACTACTAAAACATTTTCTGGTTTTAAATCTCTATGAATAATCATTGCAGCATGTAAAAATGTCATTCCTTTAGCAACATCTGTTAACATCTTTAAACCAAGAAGTTGAGTAAACTTTTCATTTTCATAAACATTCTTTAAACTACCAAACTTAGCATATTCTGTAACAATAGAATAATAACCAGGTGTGTCTACTGCTCCAATAAAATTAATAATATAAGGACACCTCATTTTATCCATCATTTGAACTTCTTTTCTAAAAGCTTCAACAACATCTTCAGGCCATGTAAAATTCTTTGTTTGTTTAATAGCAACATCAACTCCTCTGTATTTACCAAGAAAAACAATACCAAATGAACCTTCTCCAATTACTTTAGTTTTTTCAAACTCTTCATAATCCAATTTAATACTCTTTGCTGATTCTATTCCTATTTTAATTGCTGCATGATCTTCTTCAATAGATTCTTCATCACCTTTACTTGCAAGAACATCAACAATTTCATTAACAAAACAAGTACATAAAAATTTAAATTTGACTTGAATAGTTTCACCATATCCTGGTTGAAGTTTTCCTGTTTTTGGAGAGAATGAAATTTCAAAATGGTGTGTTTGAATATCCTGTGGATTAAAATTAAAGCGATACGTTTTCTTTGTGTTATTTGCAATATAAATTTCTTCTGTTAATTCTTCATCTACAGGAACTGGTTCAGTTCCAGATCTTCCAAATGTTAAAGTAGAACATGATAAAGATAATGGGAAGTTATCTATTGGAGTAAATTCATAAGCAAAATTTCCAATTCTGAACTTAGTCTTTGGAGAACGTTTTTTATTCTTCTTATATACAAGAAAGATTAAAATCAATGCAACAATAATACCAAGAAATATTAAAATAGATAATATAGATAATATTATAATAAGTGTTTTACTTGCTTTTATTTTCTTATTTACTTGACACTTTCCATCAACAAAAGTTAAATTAGAATGGCATTGACAAATAGAATTAACACAATATTCTCTATCATAATTACGAATTGAAAATTGTAATTCTGGATAATCATAATTACTTGGAACTGTAGTAACTCCTCCTAACCATGCTGAGTTACCTGATGTACTTGTAACATATCCAAAATAAGTATATGGACCACTTCCATTAAGACGAAGAATAGTCACAAATCTTGGATGATATCCAAAATCAAGTATATTATCAAAAAATACATACCCTCCTCCACAATATGGCTTATCACTTGTTCCATATCCTGGAGTACCTACTACAATAATTTGTCCATATGAAATAATATTTTCAAATGGTTTATTTTTCATTGGTTTAAGATATTCTGTAACACCCTCTGCATAAAATGGAATTCCTGAAAGAACTTCTTCTTGTTCATAATTAGTAAATGAATCAAATACACTAACTCTACGTCCATCAGAAACAATAACATATACAATATCATTTCTAGTAACTCTAATTGGATCATAGATGAAAGTTTCTGAAGAACTTATATTAGCAACTTTAATTGTTTTATAGAAAGTATAATTACCAAGTGTAGTTTTAGAATCAGCATTATTTGAAAATTTAATTAAAGTAATTTTAGTTTGATTCTTAATTGCAACAATACTATTACCAGTAGAAATATATTCTCCACAATCGAAATCAATTTTTATTATTTTAGTTAATGTTTCTGGTGAAAGAACAATTAATTTACCACTGACACAAGCCAGTATATAATCATTTTGAATTTTTTCTGAATACTCGTAATGATGATAAGCAAGTGGTGAAAGTTCATCAAAATTTCCACTAAGAGTAGAGTTGATAGTAACTGATGGTGGTTGAGAATTAAGGTCATACGAAAGCATTACACGGTCATGCAAAAACCAAACTCGTTCTCTCATATCAACAATTTGTGGTCTTTTTGGTTCTCCATTTAAATCAACAGTACCAGTTCTGTTTTGAACAACTGAAAGAGTAGAGTCCCAATATAATTTTGTTGGGTTACTTCGATTATAATAGATTGGCATATTATGTCTTGCTTCAGAACGTTCATTATATCCAATAAATCCAACAAAGTGTTCTAATGAACTGTTGGCCTTTGTAATATCAGGTTCTACCAAAGTTGCAAAGGAGAATGAAATAAGTGAAAAAAGAAGCAACATGATATATTAAGTTCATTTTTCGAGTTCCTTCTTAAAAACTATTTAATTTAAAAATGTAATAAATACTAAAAATTATCTTTTAAATTTAATATATTAAAAAAAAAAAGAAAAAAAGAAAAAAAAAGAATAAAGAAGAGACTCGTTAGATATACAATTCCTATAAAACTTGATTAACAAAAATGAATTATAACCAAGAAAAAAAATATTTTACTTTTAATTTTTACTTTTAAAATTAAAAAAAAGATAACGGTTAATCTAAGAAAAGAATAAAATAGATATTAAATAACAATGGAGAAATACGGAACAACACCAAATTATCATGTTAAAAAAGTTGATCATTTTGGATTTTCAGGAACTAATGCTGCCAATGGAACTGGCGCATATAAACAAAAGAGTTATTGTACTATTGTTGGAGGTGTTTCTGGTTGGGATCCTAGTTGTAGACCACAAGGAAAAAAACAAAAATTAACATTATACCATTACTATAATGGGGGCATGTCATTTTATGTTCCAATAGGTGATGAACCAATTTTCCCACAAAATTATTGTAAAGTAGCAATAATTAATGGATTTTTTGATAATATCCTTAAACTAACAGAAGACGTTGAAGGAAAATGGAGTACTTCATCTTCTGTAGAAAAATTATTTACTTGGGTTCATGCAAAAGAAACTAAAACTGGGTATCGAGGGACACTTGTTGGTGATGTTGTAGTTGAAGAAGATGGATTTACATGGAGGCTAATGGATAATGGGTGGTACTTCATTGGAAAATATCCAGGGTATGCACTTTAAATTCAATTTGTGATTACACAACACAGAATTCAATTCTTTTGAAAGAAAAAATTATGTTATTTATTTTAGTATTCAAATCAAAATAATTCGTTTCAAGTTTTTTTTGAACGAACTAAATTTTGGTCATTCTTAAAATATAGTAAAAAATTAAAGAAATATAATTGTAATAACTATATAAGTACTTATAGAAATAATCCCAAAAAAAAAAAAAAAAGAAGATGTTTTATGCAAAAAGATTGAAAAGTTTTACTTTTTTTCTTTTTCTTCACTTTTTATTTTTAAAACTCAGAAACACGAGATTAACAGATGTCAAAGGTATATCACACAGATGGTAAAACTATAACAATAAATACTGACTATTGTATTGGTTGTGGGGCATGTGTAGATATTTGTCCTACTGGTGTACTTGATGTAGTTGATAGAAAGAGTATTGCTGCTGATATCGACAATTGTTGTAAATGCAGGGAATGTACAGGAGTGTGCCCAGTAGATGCAATAACTATAGATTAATCGAGAAAAAGTCTTTTTCTTTTTTATTCCAATTTCATAGAAACCACTTGATTTTGTTTTACTTTTGGTTCATTTTTTGAAAATAAAGAATATAATGAGATGTTGGTTTATATTTTATTGACACAATCATGTTAGTTTTCTAGTTTTTTTAATTCTTTTGATGATGGTTGTTTTATTTCTTTATTCTTTAATAACAAAAAAGTTAAGAACTAAATTTATATTCCTATTTTACAATGACTGATATACAACAACTTATGTCTTGTGAAAAATTCCTTAATGACTTAATTGGTAAACTTGTTTCTATTAAATTAAAATGGGGGATGGAATATAAGGGTGTGCTTGTGTCAAGAGATGCTTATATGAATTTTTTATTAACAAATGCAGAAGAATGGACAAATGGGGTTATAGCTGGTAAAGTTGGAGATGTATTAATAAGGTTTGTTTTTTTTTTATTACTTTTGAATAACAATTATTAGAGTACAATAAACTAACAAAACAGATGTAATAACGTTTTATATGTTCGTGATTTAAGTGAAGAAAAGTTATGAACAAATAAAAACCGTTACAATTTAGTTAATCCCATCTAATGGTGGAGAAAGATTTTTAATTGATATTTTACCACCAGTGCGTTTCTTTTTAGTTAATAATTCTTTCTTTAAATCGGAGAATTGACCTTCATTAGATATTTTAAATGTAACTATTTCTCTTAATGGTTTAGCAAATATTTTTATAGTAAAGACTTTCTTAGGGATTTTATCTTCAAATTCATATGAATGACAATCAACAAAATCTTCACCTATATTATCAATAATTACAAAATCATCTTTTAATAATTTTACTGAACCTTTTGAATATGACTCATTACAAATACCATATAATTGTCCTTCTTCTATCATTAATATGTTTGACCCTTTAGTTGTTCCTTTCTTTTTGTTTAATTCAACTAACATTGTTCCGTCATACCGTTCTTCTTCTACAGTTATAAAAGTCCCTCGTTCAACCATCTTTTTGTTTAATTCAAATGGGCAAATGACAATACCCATACTATCTGTATTAGTAACTACTTCATTTACAATTTGAACCATTTGATTTAACTGGTCAAGAACATAGAAAGGTAATATTCCTTTTTTACCATCAGCCCTAAAACAAATAGCCCATGTTTTTATAAATCTTTCAACAAATAAAATTTGGCCTAGTTTAACTGTTAATTGAAACATTGATTGTTTTGTATATTCTTGATTTACTTTAAAGTATTTACAAACTTTTTGTTCATAATATTTTTTCTCATAGTTTAAATAAGCAGCAGGAACATAACCAAATGATTTTTGTTTATAAACTAACCACCAATTACTTTGTGGACATTGAATAATCCTAACTTCTTCATCTTTTTCTATACTTAATGTTTTTGAATCACAACTTTTAAATGGATATAATACTTTAGCATTACAAGGCAATTCTCTTGGGACAGGAACTGATAGATAAATTTCTATTAATTCTTATTATCAAATACCTAATCTCAAACAAACTTAATTTCTCCTTTGAGGTATATCGAGTACTTGTACTTTCTTTAATTATTTTTACTCTATTTCTTGGAATATATCCACTTTCATTTTGTTTATTAAATACTAGTAACCATCCACCTTCAATATTATCTTCGGTGCATTCAAGTATTTCTCCTTCTTTTATTGATAAACACTCTATATCATCTGATGAAAAATTAAACAATGCCTGTACCCTAGACGTAAATGTATTAATTAACTTTTCTTATAATGTAATTTAAATAAATCAAACTTATATAATACTTTTGTTTTAGTAAAAGAGTCTATTACAAATTTTGATTTGTCAAACACGCTCACCCTATGTAAATGAGTTTGAAATTATTTCTTGTGGGTTTTGATAATCAAACTTTCCATGTAACCTTCCTCTTATTTTTTCTCGTGGTAACATCGTAATAAATTCAATTATATCACCTTTTTCATATGACAATTTGGACAATGTATTTGATTGAAAAGATTCAATAGCTTTCAAATAAACAGTTGACTCGTTCATGTCAGAACTACTTACTACTCTTTTCAG